GGTGGTAGGGCGGCAGAGGAAGCGGCTTGCGGTGGGGGTGCAGCTGGGACTACGGGAGATTTGGCAGGCGATGGCTCGGCTGGCGGCGACCATGGCATGGATGGGAGGGCGCCGGTGATGCTGCTAATGGATATTTTCTTGGGCGGCAGTGGCTTCTCTTCGACCGGGCTAATGGCTTTCGTTTCTTGGGTTTAAAATTAGCATTACTGTCAGACGTCAATTAATTCATGCAGCCAAACAACAAACCTGGTTCCTCATGTGGGGCAGGGTGGTCGTCGTCGAGCTTGACGTCGTCCAGATTTGAGGTATTGGAAAGTCGATGGGATACGGGGGAAGCTTTGCGCTTGATATCCACGTCCTCATGGTCGCTCACAAAGTCCTCGTCGACAAAGTGATCGTCTGGTGTTGGTGAAGGCGGAGCTGCTGGTGCTTCCACCCTGTCCTCTTCAGTGTGCTCCTCCTTTTTCGGGGATTCAGGGTCCGTTTCCTCGGCGGGTGGTGGTTTGGAGACGGAGGGCGTTCTCTGAGTAAGAGAACGCACCTCAGCTACCTCGGCGACATCGACAACGGCATCTTCGAAGGCATCCTGCTGCTTATTCGGTCATGTCAGCGAGTGGTTCTTCTCCTGTTTGCACTGCGGTTGCGGCATGTGGTCGAGCTTGGAAGGCCCAAGCAGGTATGTGTGCATCAAGGGAGGATGAGGGGAGCGTTACATTCTCCTTATCAGAGTCGGAGTCGGAGTCAGTCGAGAGTCTCTTCTCCTTGGTCTCTTTGGTCTCCTTGGTGACTTCAGGAGAAACGGTCGCGACAGGCTCGTCTGGCTGGGACATGGCGAAATGAAGAATCGTAGGTCAACTTGCGCTGACCTATGTGGGTGTGTGCGGTATGGTGATATAGCTTGCGTCCAGGTCGAGGTCGGACTGTTTAGAGGACCTAGTTGGTGTCCATGGAGATGGGGGGGGACTGCAGCACTAGGCAAATCTGTAGACTGTGTCGTCTGTGCTGCTGAAGAACACCTTGTGATACGGGTGCTGCAGTCTGGATCTCGTAACGTATGATGCAGGGTTGGTTGCTGGGAACTGTTTTCGTCGTTGTGTGTGTGGTTGTTCGTCTCTGAGCTTGTCAGGACGGAAGACGGGGAATCGAGAAGGCGAGTAGGTCAAGGTCGAGGGTCGAGGATTGACAGTCGAGGATCGGTTGTGGCGCGCAAGTCGTGCCTCTCACTCTCCCTTTTTTTTCTTTCCTATTTCCTGGCTGGGGGGGCACCGGGCATGGGGGGATGGGATGGGGAATTGAATTGAATGAATGAAGCTGCCCGAGCCTCACCGCAGATGGGGGGGACCCCTTTCAGATGTATCTTTTCTCTGATTCAACGTGACACAGTACTTAAGCTAATCCACCTACCTGAATGGGACCTGGAAGTAGACCCCCGAACGGTGGCTGAGAATACTCAAGTCCCGTCCGTATTCGCCCAAATAATCGACCCTCAGCACTCCTCGAGGTCCACCACAGACGAACGTTCAATTCTAGCGTACGGAGTCCAGTCAACTTTTGGGGGCCAGGGGGAGGCAAAAGGTGAGGGACCGGGCCAACCACTGGTAGCTTAGCGCGCCGCTGCGGAACGGGATCGCTCTCTGTTTCGGGGGGGCTGCACGAGGGGGGCGTCTTGCAAAGTTGCAAGTCTGGATGCCGTGAGTTCCTGAGTTCCTCACCCGGAGCGCAGGACAGTGGGCTTGCCAGCCCCAAATGCCATCAATGACAGGGGGCTCTCCTCTGAAAATGCCAGCCAAAAGGAAATTGCTGGGATCGACACGGCAGGGAAGCTGATGTTTCTTAATGATTGCCCACCACCTCCCACACCTTTTCCAGCCTCTTCAACGCCTTTTGCTGCCTCTGTCACTCTCGCTAAGTCACTCTTATCAGGTGCGTGTCCAGAAAGACATGTCAATATGCGATAATAATATCAGATACGACGGCACTGTCCCAAAGCTTTCTATCTTGGGACGGGGAGTCTCCAATAGCATCTCGTTATCCGTTTTGGGAGCTTCAATCTCGTCAAAACGAGAGCTTGAATTGCCCTTTCTGAGTCATCCCGATTCTCGTCCGATCTTTGGAAGTTTGGGGCATCCTTTACCTCATCATCTCATGTGAGCAATAGCTTAGAATGATATGAACTTACTGTTCAGCCGTCGCTACACAGTATTATTTGTTTATCTGCCATCTTGGCTCTTTGTTTTGTGGATGTGTGCGCGTCTTCCGAGACGACCTTGTCTTTAAAGAGTTTCGTTCAGTCCAACAGCCGCTGCCCCTGCAGCACAAGTTTCTTGGATGGCGTGGAAAGTTGGACTGGCTTGATGGTTGGCCATCCGAGGCAAAGCATTTGTGTGAGGTGGTTACTTATTCAGTACTTGCTCTTTACCACTGTTTGGCTGTGTACACTGAGTAGACTCTTGGTAGCGCCAGCCTTTCCCCGTTGGAACGTTATGATCTGCGCATCTCTCGCGCCGTTGCAATCGGGGGTAGATCTTTTCAACCCCTGGTGCCCTTCCCCCTTTTTCCAACTCTAAGAAGGCCGGCCGCCCGCCCGCAGACCCGGCGTTACGCCGCCTGTTTGTTGGTCGGGTTGCACCCGGGTTCGGGGGACAACGACACCGAGGCCGGTTTCCTCACTCATCGTCGGGGCTCAGTAGTCACTATGCTTCTGATGCCTTCAGGTCGGGTTCGGTCAATTTGATCCGAATGTTAACATTGGCAGCTAGGTATTCATACTGGGTCTTCCTGGGTCTCAAATGGCTCGTCTGGCATGCCTGGCACGCTTGGATCCTATTTTTACCAACCTCGGACCAAGCACCGGTTGGTGTCTTGGTGTGGATGAACTGGAATGCAACCCAGGCCTTTTATATCGGCTGCCCCAAGTCTTCTGTGCAAGCTGAGCCACAAGCATAAATGTCGCAGGTCGCGGGACTCGTCGTAATGAGAACCTGATGAAAACAGATGGGCAGGACTCATCACATTTGTGACTTGACGTTTGATATTTTCGCGGTGCTCTACTTTCGATGTCGATCCAAACACTGTCCATTCATCCCTCACTTACCTAAAAAAAAAAAACACCGCTTAATGTCACTTCTGATATATCGTGCTCGAGACGGGGAGATCGTTGTTTTGCCCGGAGAGTTCAATCTGAAGAGCCAGATAGATACTCTGGTTTACATTTTCTCAAGCCCTCTATTGGAAAATGAGATTTGAGGCCCAGCGTAAATCAACATCTGCTCGGTCAATTGAGGCTTTAAAGCCCCAATACCTTACATTGACACGTGCATTCTCGGCAGACCAGCCACGTGGAGGAGCGACAGCCTCTGGAAATCAGCATGCCATGTGTTGGCAGTGACTGAGTTGTTTGACGTGAGCTAGAAGTGCCTTCCGGCCATCACAGGTCTATTACGAGAGGAGAGCAGTTGTTAGAGTTCTGCGTGAGAAATCTGTCGAGGAAGGCATTACTTCCCAAAAGGCGATGGAGAAATTTTCTTTCAATCTACCGCTGGCCAGACCCTCCGACTTTTGCGCATCATCAACACTGCACACGTTTATTGTCATCGTGAAGTGGGGATAATAGTCTAGTAAGGAGATCCAGACTTTAGAAGCCCCGTTGCTAAGGTATTAAGAGTCCACTTGTTTGACGCTGAATGCTGTCATAAATCTCCAGTACGTAAAGTGCCATCATGTAAGGAAATGAAATTTTTCCTTTGCCAAATGTACATTCGCAAAGGAACCTTATACAACCTTCGTGTACCAGCATGAGTAAGATTGGTGATTGGGCAAAATGAAATGTACATTATCTTGCGGATTGTAACTCATTCATGATCTGATTGTGTTGACTTTGTGGTAGGCATCAGAACAGCATTACGATTGTGTTGGCCTGCCTGCCTTGCCATGCCTTACCTTAGGTAATGGAAGGTAAAGGCAGAAACTGGTTCCAGAAGCGAGTAGAATATTGAGATTTATTAGGTACCTACGGAGTACTGTATGGAAGGTCACATCTGCCCGGTCGCCTTGCGGCGCGGTACGTACCTTTGACAAAGATGCTGTTGATGCCGCCTCCACACTACCGCCTGCGTCCCGCCAACAAATCTAAGTTGAACCGTGCACTCTCCTCCCCGCTATCCTCCCGTCATAGGTAAGGTAGGAACGAAGATAGACAAACAACCGCGGTCACTGTGTCTACAGATAATTAGCACTGCTCATGATGTGGATGAACACGGGTAAAAGACAGTGCGAAGCCTGGGGAGGTGTCCAGCCCAGCAACTGCCCGCCTGCTCCTCCCACCTTTGGTTGTCTGACCGCTCGCAAGGCGGCAGACCACCACCCGTACATGACCTCCAACCAAACAGTGAGTGAGCCGTGCCTTACGCCTAGCAAGCTGGCAAAGCTACCTCTACCTACCTTGCTATTACGCAAAGGGCCCACTGTAACCGCACCTACCTTTCCTTGCCGATTTGACATCTGCAACTTCTTTTTCCACCTCACTCTCCAACATCCCATCCCGCCTTCCACCTTACCTTCAACACTAGGCACTCGTTGCGATCGACGGCTTGATCTCACCGCCTGCTACTCGCGAGGATTTTACGATCTTGAATCTGAGCGACACGCACTTTTAACAGGACGACCCGAACATACATTGCTTGGCAAAGCTATTGTCACGGAAGCCCGTGAGGACGACCTGCACCCGGCCTCGCACTTCTGTGCCTTTCTACCCCAAGCTTTCTCGTCATCGCCTGGTCGATTTCTTTTCACGTTTTGACCACACACACCAGACCGTCGACCTCTTCCTCTACACGACTGTATAATACCGTAAAGGGATACCCTCTTTTGCGACGCGTCTGTTCCGTTCGCGCAAACGTCTACGAGATACCCGGCTGCGCTATCTAGACCTTCAAACTCCGACGCGGGCTAGCTAGCAAGGCTGCACATATGAACCTGCGGCCCTGCCGCGCTCGCCCACGATGGGGAAGATAACGAAGCAGATGCAGCCCAAGCATGCCGAGACTTTGGTAAGCCATCTCTCTGCCTGCTCTTCTCTTCTCTTCTCCTTCTTGTTGTACAAATCAGGCCAGTGTTACTAACCATTTTCCTAGTCTCCATGGCTCAAGGACTTTGTCACATCGGCATGCTCCACACCCTTGCCTCTCCTTCCAAACCACCTCCACAAGTTCCCGACAAGATGGCCCTACCCGAGAGGTGATTTATACCACTGGATCCCTCTTCTCAACCGATTCGACGACATCTTGGACTGCTTCTGCACCACCTACAACCTGGAACAGGGCCCCCAGAACCGCGATTTCGGCCGCGATCTGCTCCTCAACCAAGGCGCCAAGACTGAACAATATGGCGACCAGACCTGGGACAATGATGGTCTTGTCAAGCTGGGCTACAATGCAGATGGAGATAGGCAGCTGATCGAGGCTGTCCTCAAGTTCACCCGTATACTCCTGCAGCACTGCGGCAACCGAAGCATCTACTCTAGTAGCATGGTCCTGAACAAGCTGCTCAACACTACAGTTCTGTCGCTTCTTCTTGCAACTCTGCAGGTCAGCGCCGAGTTGGCCCAGCGCTACCAAGCTTCTGTCAAGAGAATAGGAAGCGCCTCCCGCACAGTGAGCACTGCTCTGCTGAGCAATCACTACCAGATCGACCTCGACCGCGTGAACAGCGTCGCTCTGCCCTTCGCCAAGACTCCGATCGTCAGTCTTTCAGACTCGCTGGCTACTGCTACGCCCACGTCGAGTGCCAAGGGCAAGGAAAAGCCTCAGGCCCCGAGCCATAAAAACGCCGCAGCCATGTTTGCCAACGACTTGGGGTCTATTCTTACACCCGACAATGGGCGCTGGAATGGATGGGGAGATATCAAGATCACCTATACCGTGGCGTCGATCGCAAAGGACCACCCTGTCTCGACGGCTCATGATCGCATTGGTTCCAACATGCCCTCTACACCGACCCCTCTGAGGCGCAGCACGACAGCCGGCTCTCAGCATAACACTCCAAGATCCGCTCGTCAGGCCGGCGTTGACGAGGCTTCGCCATTAAGTACACGAAGCCCCATCGTCGCCAATGACCATACCAAGTCGAGTCAGCGAATCTTCGATTTGCCGCAATCAGTCGTTGCCTCCACGCCCATCTACGAGCTCCTTGCACGATGTCCTGCGGATATGCCCGCCTCAGCCAAATATGAGATTCTCAACCGTCTGAGAGTAGCCAAGGCTCTTCTTGGGGGTGCGGAGTCTCGACAGGAAGCGCTTGCCGTCCGTCTACTCGCCATCACAAACCTGGCCTTCATCCATCCGGAGACGATCTTCGTCGAGAAGGTTCTGCGTCATGACAACGACGAAACACGACGCTATCAGTTGGCTTATCAACTGGCGGAACTAATTCACCCGCCGGCCGATGGTTCCATTCAAGTACCGCTGTGGCTTCAGTCAATTGTCTTGGGCCTCCTTGAGGTCATCTCAAACTATGCTGCAAGATACCAAGATGTTTTGTCGGCCCTGAATGCGAATGTCAACCACGGAATTCTCTTATACGTCATCCGAAAGGCTGTCGCAGGGATGAAGACCAGTGAACCCGACCGCGGTATTCATACCACGGAAGTCGACGAGTGGCGTACCAGTCTTTTCTCTTTGACGACTCACCTGGCCATGTCTACTAGAATAGGAGCTGAGATGGTGACGGCCGGACTGATGGATATTCTGGTGGAGATTCTTAAAATCAGGTCTGACGTCGCCCAGCGCAATCAGTCCATGATTCTGGCTTTCCTCGACGGACTGATTTGGACGTATCAGAATGCGTTCCAATCGTTCTTCAGCGGATCCGGTCTTGATGCCATCTCCGAACTCCTTGTCACAACGGTGGCCGAAGCAAAGCAACTTGTGCAAGCTGGACAGGGCAACACACCTGAACACTATTGCCAGGTTGTTGACTATGAGATACCCTACAATCAACAGCAGACCCTGAAATGGGTTCTCAAGTTTGTCCATCACATGATGACGAACTCTTACACCTATGGCGGAAACACTGATCGACTTCTCCGTAACCTTGTTGACAAATCGGAGCTGTTGGCCAGCTTGCGAGACATCATGCAGAATACTAAGCGCTATGGATCCGTCTTGTGGACGACTACTGTCACGGTGCTCAGCGACTTTATCAACAATGACCCTACAAGCTTCGCTGCCATTTCTGAATCTGGAATCATCGTCGCTTATTTGGAAGCCATCACTGGCCATCCAGTTACCTCTCAGCCCACCATCGCACCTTCGCAGGACGCTGAGGAGCAAACGGCAGACACCGCTGATCCTGGTGACAACAATGGTGAGAACAACACCGATCGAGACAATAGAGACCGCGACGAGGATGACGAAGGCAGCCCTGAATCCTCTAATGCTTCCATTCAAATCGACGCTGATACTCGGCCTCATCCGCCTCCTGAGGAAGAAATTGCCCAATCACATGAGCGTCGCCCTCTGGCTCAGGGCATCTTGCCAACATCCGACGCCATCAATGTTGTCCCACAAGTTCTCAACTCCATTTGCTTGAATAATGCAGGAATGAAGATGGTGGCCTCCTCTCGCGCTCTTGAGTCGTTTCTCGAAATCTTCGAGAGCCCTGCCCACGTCAATACCATGGAAACCGACCCTCATCTCGCTAGCAATGTGGGCGCCAGCTTTGACGAACTCGCCCGGCACCACCCTAACTTGAGGCGTCCGATCTCGAATGCTGTGATCGACATGGTTGCTAGGGTCAGATCCTTCGGTATTTACAAAGCCAAGACTGCTGGCTGGGGCGCGAAACTGTACATCAGCGACGGTTCACAGAACCCTCCTTCAGCGGATGAGAAGTACAAGGACCTGGTACTGCACCCTACCACTGAATTCGGTACAGAAGGCAAAGGAAAGGGGAGGGGCGACAATCTTGACGTCGAAATGTCAGATGCTACGGAAATTACGGCGCAGAAGGGAGCTCTGGGTTCCGATGAGCCGTCCACGTCTGCGACAGCTTACAACGACATAACGCCCTACGTCTATGCCTTGTCAAGCTTCCTCTCAGCTTACCTCAACAACAATACGCTCAAGGCTTACTTCATTACCCATGGAGGGCTTGAGCTACTGCTAGACGTCGCAGAACTGCCCAGTTTGCCGCATGACTTTTGCGACTCTCACGCAGCCCGAACCCTGCACCTGGTCATTTCTCAGCTTGTCGAACAGTCTCCGGTTCTCGGCTTGCCCTCCCTACTCAGGCGCGCACAGGCTTCGGTCGATACACTCAAACCTTTGGCTGAGTACAAGAATGACTCTCCCTACTTTCACCCTTTCCTCGGCCTCGACGGCAGAATGACCCTCGATGAAGTACGCAGCCTTGACCCGTCGGTGCAAGAACGCATTTTCAATGGCAACAAAATGGTCAAGGCACTACTTACTGCGCAGTCGCTGATCAAGACACTGTATGAATGTTTCACCTCTTCGCCACGCTCCAACTCAGTTCAGCTGTATCCCATCAATGTCTTTGACTACTATCTCGAATTAGTCAAATCACTGGGGCCGCTTCTGAAGGCTGTGCTGGCAGAAGAGGGTGCTGGGCATAACGTGCTTCCTCAACACTGGTGGGCTAAGCGGCCAGCTCCTGGGAGTGACGTTATGGTTTCCATCACCGGGGCCGCTGGAGTTCAGAGTGTTGGCGAGGGCGAAGGCGAGAACGAGGCGGCATCAGCCCCGGCCGAGCCGTCGGATTCTGCGCCTAGTGCTGCTGTGCCTGCTACAGCTCCTGGCACCCAGCTCAAGACACCAACAAAACAAGAACAAGCGACGTTCCGATACAAAAACTACGAGACCCTTCGCATCCTACTCCACTCAATGGTTCCGTCGACCTTTCCCTTCTTCCAGCAACTTGGCAAAGCTCTCTTCCCAAGACGTGAACGCGATGCTTATTCACGTCCAAAGCACATTGATATCGCCAGAGAATTGTCAGGGACGATCCTGGCGCAGCTGGCTCCTTCTGTTGACCCTGCTGAGCCTACAGGCAAGGAGTACCACTACTGGATCATCATGCTTCACACATTGACAGAGATGTTGATGGACAATACTCGAGCATCAGGGGAACGTTCATCGGTCCAGGTCGTCATCCCGGTGCTTGTTGCTTTCCTTGATCAGGGTGGTTTCCAGGTTCTCACGACCATGGTGCGTCGGTTTTCGGCCGAGATCTGCAAAGACGCTGGAGACTCAGACGTAGGGGCCACTGCTAGCGCTCGTGTTGCCTCGTTCGGCCTCGGAAAGATCTTCGAGTTCTTTGCTGCTCTTGTCAACGGTAAGAACATTTCCGACTCGACCGCACAGTTTGGCCTCCTGCCTCGTTCAGCCGAGAGACGCCCAGACACGCCGATATCTCATCAAATTGTTGTTGAAGTGCGAATGGCTGTTCTCCCGGTCATCCGTGAGATTTGGGAGTCAACACTGATCGAGAAGTTGCGACCGGAGGCAGTAGCAAAGGTGATTGAGATCCTCAAGATCATATCTGCGGGTGACCAAGAACCATCTCGGAACACCCCGGCTGTCGAGCTGTTCAAGAAATCGACAGTCTTGTTCAACTGGCAGGCCCATACCCCTCTGATCGGTCTGCTTGAAGAGGATGGGGCAGACGTCGAGTTGGCCCGCGAAGCTGTCTTCAGAGCCAACTGGAATCAACCTTCTGCAACGGAGTACTGCCGTTCTCACAAGGCTGGCAAGGCCGGTCAAAGGAACCCGGTCCCGCCCGAAGATGCTTACAATCCCGAACGCCCTGAGCCAACAAACCAGACCAGTCAGTCGGACAACACAGCGCCAGTACCTGCTGCACCCGCTGATGTCGATGCTATGGCGGTTGACGTGGCGCCGGAATTCGTCACTCCGGAGCTGGACCGTCTGCTCGGTGATGCCGTACTGGGCGACCTGGGAAACAGAGCATCTGAGTGGAATGGCAACAGCGACGGACGTCCTGCTATAGCTGGCGAATCCCAAGCGAGGCCCGATGCCTCCACGCCAGCAGCTACCACCGAAGAACAGGCCCGCGCTAGCACCGAAACTCAGACGACAAGCAAGGAGAAACTCGACGAAGAACGATCAAAATTGCGAGGCAATCTCATCGACAGGTCTCTCGACGTTGTCAGGGCTCATCCCCACTCGGCCATCGAGCTGTCTGAGCTAATTAGTGCCATGGTATTCCGCCAGCCGAACGACGATGCTCGGGATGAGGTCGGTGCGACTCTGGCAAATGCGTTGACCTCCTTGTCATTCGACGACAGCGAATCAAAGTCGAATGGCACCAGCATTGCTGCTTATGCCCATCTTCTGGCTCTGCTTATGCAAGAGAAGAGTTTCTTCAAATGCAACATTGACACTCTGAGAGAGAAGGTGGACGAGTACATATCTTTCCTCGACTTGAAAGGGTCGTCGACTTCAAACAAAGAGCTCCCTCCCTGGATTCCGTATATCCTGTTGATCGTCGAGCTTCTGCTGTCATACGATGAGCAGCCTATTGAAGCGCAATGGAAACCTCCAAGCAATGATAGCGAGACGATTGCGCCTGCTGTGCTTCCTCAACGCAACTTGATTGTTTCTGCTGAACAGCGAAATAGGCTTCTGGATGTAATTCTGGAGCTGCTTCCCGGCCTCGGGAAGGAGGAGACACTCGCAACCTCTGTACTTCGTGTCATCGTCATTTTGACACGTAAGCCCGCCATGGCGCAAAAGGTTGGAGACAAGCACAACCTTGGGAGGCTGTTTGCCATGGCCAAGCAGCTTGCGGGTGTTGGTTCAGCACGATTGAAAGAAAGCAAAACGACTGGCAGCATCATGTCTATCCTGAGACACATTGTCGAAGACGAGGAGACACTGAAGCAAATCATGCGAGCTGAAATTCGTAACCTATTCGACAACCCTCAACGAACTCAGAGAAACCTGGATCTCAGCACATACCTGCGTAACATGGCGCCTCTTGCTTTGCGGTCCCCGGATCTATTTGTTGAAATTACCAATGAGATGACCAAGCTGTCTCGTTGGACTCCTGGGAGCGAGGGTAGCAGCCGTGCCCAACAATTGGCACTCAAGGAGCCCGACTCTGGTTCCAAAATCAAAGCCCACGAGGAAGAGGCGAGCGTCGAGCCCGCTGTGCAGGCCACGGAGGACTTGTCTATCCATGATGTCAAGCAATCCACAGAAACGGACGACAAGGAAATGGCAGACGCGCCTAAGCAAGTAGCTGAGCTGAAACGGCCGGTGGTCGAGAATCCCCACGGCATCATTTACTTCCTCCTGTGCGAGCTGCTCAAATACAGAGAAGTGGATGACAATGAGCCTCCACAGGTCTCGAAGGACATGGAGAATATTGCGCCATCAGGAAGCGCTCCCACAGAAAGCGCTTCTAAAGAGGCAACGCCAGACAACCAGGATGCAGCCGATAACAAGGACAAGGATAAAAAGTACACAAAGCCGGTTTTCAGGGCCGAGGATCATCCTCACTTCATCTACCGGTGCTTCCTGCTCAACTGCCTCGCAGAGCTCCTCCAGAGTTACAATCAGACCAAGGTGGAGTTCATCAACTTCAAGCGTAGCATCTCGTTGCAAACGAACACGCCCGTCAAGCCTCGATCGAATGTACTCAACTATCTCATCCACGACCTCTTGTGCCAAGGCAATCTCAGCGACAATGCAGACAGCATTGTATCAAAGAAGAAAGCCGCCACCTCTGCCCAAGCCCAACAAGTTCTCGTTGCGCTCGTAGCCAAGACAGGGGAAAAGGTTATTGACAAGACACGAGATCGCTTTGAATACGACGACGAGCCCGATCTGCTTTTTGTTCGGAAATTTGTTTTGGACACTATTCTCAAGGCATACGAGCGCGCCGCCACACCCGAAGAGCCTGTTGACACTCGCTACCTGAAGATGCAGTGTCTCGCCGAGCTGATGAACCATATCATTGGCGAGAAGGACAAGGAAACGACATCTCAACGGGCACTTGACTCTCCCCAAGGACGATCGCAAGCACAGTTACGCAGGATGATGTACGAAAAGGGCTACCTCGACAAGTTGACTTCCTCTATCGCCGAAGTCGACCTGAGCCATGCTGGCGTCAAGAGGGCCATTAAGTATGTCCTCAGAGTTCTGCGCGTTCTGACAGATACCGCCAAAGAACTGAGCCGCTCCCATGTCCTTCCCTCGACATCTCTTCCCGAAAACGCCGAAGACGACATCATCTCGACATCTTCAATGTCTGACATGGATGACGATCGCGAAGAAACGCCGGATCTCTACCGTAACTCTACTCTTGGTATGCTCGAGCCTCGTGGAAGCGATGACGAGTCCGACGATGAGGACGGTATGTATCATGCACTGGACTGAACTTGCATGCCATTACTAACTCAAGTTGTAGAGGACGACGACGAAGAGATGTACGACGATGACTATGGCGACGAGCTTGATTATGGCGAAGAAGAAGTATCGGATGATGGTGAAGATGGCGTCAGTGACGAAGACGAAGAATTGGGTGAGATGGGTCACATCGAGGGCCTTCATGGGGATCCTGGTGTCGTTGAGGTCATCATGGGAGACGAAGATGATGACATGGATGAGGATGACGATGACAGCGAGGATGACGAAATGGATTCTGACGACATGGATGAGATGGAAGAGCACCTCGACGTTGTGGAAGAGATTGTCGACGAAGACGGCAACCCTCTCGAGGACGATGGCGCCTCGGATTGGGAGAGTGAATCAGAGGAAGAAGAAGAGGAAGACGATGAAGACATTGATTATGAGGCGGAAGCCCAGGACCGCGAAGAGGCTCACGTTCATGGCATGGAGTCTGAGGACATGATCGAAAATCTGGCCCGAGCAGTCATGGACCCAGAAGACTACGACGGCGACGACATGGATGACCTTGGAGATCACTACATTGATGATGGTCGTGATGAAGATGGTAGGTTCAGACAGCTTGGCCTATTCTTCTGCAATTTTCTAACACAAGCCGTAGACGATGAAGACGATGATGAAGACATGGAAGAAGACGAGCTCATCTATGACGAGGCCTACCCTCGTAAGTTTTTTTCGCTGTCCACGAATGCTACGATTGCTAACACTCATCTAGATGACCACCAATCCTCCAACCTCCCTTCTGCTCTCGGATGGGATACTTTGGTCGTCGAGCCATTCGGAGGCCAGCCTCAACACGCTCATCGCCATCGTCATGGACACCGTAGCCCATTCCCCCCTGGTTTCATGGTTGGCGGTGGCCGCGATCCTCTGGGCGGTATGGTCTCCTCCATTGATGCAGTCTATCAGCAGAACGAACAGCTGACAGGCCCTGCAGATTTCCGAAGCTACTTCTCTCCCCGCCACAGACCGAATGCCGTGCCTAACAATGCCGACGACGGGGTCAATCCTCTTCTGCGCCGAAACGGCCAGGGCCGTGAAGCATCACCCCGCCCTGCGCCGGGTTCTGGTATGATTGGCTTGCGCCTGCCTCCTGAAATTTTTGGTCCGGGTGTACAGCATTTGTCTAACAGCCCAATCGCTATCCTCAACGATCTCGTCGCGTCTCTTCCGGTCATGCGACACGGTCAATCTGCCGTCCACTTGTCCATTACTCAAAATGGACGCGGCGAAGTCAGGGAGTACCATGTTGCCCCTCGCGAATCTCGGGCAGACAGCCGTCGTGAGACGACTTACCACGAGCCTCAACAGGCCGTCGCCTTTACCCCCGAATCGACATTCGAGCGTTACCAAGAAGAAGCTCGCATGGTTTTCGGCGGGGCTCACTTCATCGAGAAAGCACAGAAGCTTGTCAATATCCTTCTCTCCAAGCTGGTTCCTCCCGCAATGGAGTATGAGAAGAAGCTCAAGGCCGAAGAAGAGGAGCGACGTAAAGTGCGAGAAGAGGAGCGCAGAAAGTTTGAAGAGGAAGCTCGGAGGCTCTTGGAGGCCAAGGAAGCCAACGAAAAGGCAGCCCGTGAAAAGAAAGAAGCGGAAGAGCGCGAAGAACAAGAGCGTGCCGCTGCGGAGGCCGCTGCTGCTGCCGGAGAGCGTGATTTGGCATCAACCCAAGAAAGCCACACTGACAGTGCTGGCTCGCAAGCCATGGAAGGGGTCGAAACACAAGAGCCGTCTGCGACCCTGGCCGAAGACACGGCAGACGACGCTAGTCGCGTCATGACAACTATCCGTGGAGAGGAAGTCGACGTCACTGAACTCGGTATTGACCCTGATTATTTGGCGGCTCTACCAGAGGAATTCAGAGAAGAAGTCATCGCACAAACGGTCAGCACCAGGAGATCTCAAGCTCGAGAGGAGGCTGCCACTGGCGAACAGGGTGAAGTCTTCCAAGAGTTCCTCGACGCTCTCCCGGAGGATCTGCGACTAGAAATCGTTCAACAAGAACGTCAGGATGCGCGCCGGCGAGAGAGAGATGAGCAGCGCCGCCAGGCGACAACCGCGGGCCAAGACCAGATCGCAGTGGACATGGACCCGGCAAGCATCCTCTTGACATTCCCTCCTGAATTGCGACAGCAAGTTCTCATGGATCAAGGAGAGGACATAATGGACCACTTGCCTCCTGAAATGGCCGCTCAGGCCCGTCTGCTTGCCCAGCAACACAGCGCTCACCCTGCTGTCACAGGCAGAAGCCCTCCTGTCGTTGCTCGACGACCAGGTGCTCCACCTGTCGAATCGGGAGAAGCCAACGAGAACAAGGTACAGCGGCGGACAGTTGTGCAGATGCTGGACAAGCCAGGAGTTGCTACTCTGCTTCGGCTCATGTTCATTTCCCAGATCGGCTCCATCCGCAACTACCTCTTCAGTGTTCTGGCCGATGTCTGCGAAAACCGTCAAAATCGCCTCGAAGTAATCAGCACCATTCTCTTGATTCTACAAGAAGGAAGCACAGACATGGAAGCTGTTGAGCGCAGCTTCAGCCAACTCTCTGTGAAGGCCAAGAAGTCTAAGGATAAGGACGCAGACCCCAAGACCCCTCAGAACCTTAAGCGGACTCTGACGTCGCTGAGCGCTGCTGTGCATCAGCAGTCCAACTCGGAGATATCACCACTCATGGTCGTCCACCAGTGCTTGGATCTGCTGCAAGATCTCTCCACCAAGAACCCTCACATCCCCATGCTCTTCCTGACAGAGCATGAGGCGGTTGGATCTTCCCTCAAGCGTACACTCAGCCGCAAGGCCAAGGCCAAGGACTCCAAGGCCCACAAGTATGCAATCAACTCACTCCTCACTCTTCTCGACAGAGATTTGGTGATGGAGAGCTCGGTGGTTATGGCCTACCTCGCCGATTTACTGAATAAGATTACGGTACCATTGGCTACGATGGAGCGACGCCGTCGGGAAGCTCTAGAGAAGGCTGCTCGGGAGGCCAAGAAGAAGGCAGCGGAAAGTGCAGCGGAAGCCAATCCCGCTTCGGCCTCAGCCGCTCAACCTGCTGAGAACGCAATCCTCGAGACTGCCGCCGACGTGGAAGTCCAGGAGCCCAAGGGTGAAAGTGCCGAAAATGCGAAGACCACCGACAAGTCGACAACCCAGAAAGCGCCTCGCCAAATGCAGGTTCCGATCATTCCGCCGCACAATCTTACTCTTGTGATCAAGATCTTTGTTGCTCGGGAATGTAGCTCCAAGACGTTCCAAAACACCATCTCAGCTATCAAGAACTTGTCTGCTATTCCAGGCGCCAAGGCAACATTCGGACAGGAACTGGTCCGCCAAGCTCGTGTCTTGAGTGAGAACATTGTCGCGGATCTCGATGAGCTGCTTCCTCATATTGAGAAGGCTACGTCGGGAACCGAGATTCAAGGTGTTGCGCTTGCCAAGTTTTCTCCCGGTGCTTCTGAGCAGAACAAGCTCCTCCGTGTTCTCACGGCGCTCGACCACCTATTCGACAACAAGAAGAAGAGTGACAAGGCAGATGAAGATGCCGAGACCAGCATCAACGAAAAGCAGGATCTCGTTACTTCACTGTACCACAACTCGACCTTCTCCATGATGTGGGAGAAACTGAGCGCCTGTCTCAGCGCTATCCGTGAGCGGGAGAACATGGTTAACGTAGCAACGATCCTTCTGCCACTGATAGAATCGCTCATGGTCGTCTGCAAGAATACCGCTATGAACGACGACTCACAGACTCAGAACCAGACAAGCAAGGAGATGCTGCTATCAAGCCCGCCCCCGGAGAATCGCATGGCCGGCCTCTTCTTCACCTTCACCGAGGACCACCGTCGCATCCTCAATGAGCTAGTCCGCAACAGTCCGAAGCTCATGTCCGGAACGTTTTCGCTTCTGGTCAAGAATCCAAAGGTTCTCGAGTTCGACAACAAACGCAATTACTTCAACCGTAGTGTGCACAGCCGTTCCAGTAACAATCAACGGCCGTCGTTCCCTGCGTTGCAGCTCTCAGTACGTCGCGAGCATGTCTTCCACGACTCCTTCAAGTCGCTTTACTTCAAGACCGGCGACGAGATGAAGTATGGCAAGCTCAACATTCGCTTCCACAACGAGGAGGGTGTCGACGCCGGAGGTGTAACCCGCGAGTGGTTCCAGGTCTTGTCCAGGCAAATGTTCGATGCCAACTATGCACTCTTCATTCCGGTCTCCTCTGACCGTACCACATTCCACCCCAACAAGTTGAGTGGCATTAATGACGAGCATCTCATGTTCTTCAAGTTCATTGGTCGCATCATCGGAAAGGCCTTGTATGAGGGTCGGGTTCTCGACTGTTACTTCAGCCGCGCTGTGTACAAGCGTATTCTCGGCAAGTCGGTATCCGTCAAGGACATGGAATCTTTCGATCCGGATTACTACAAGTCTTTGGTGTGGATGCTCGATAATGACATCACGGACATCATCACAGAGACGTTCTCGGTGGAGGACGATGAGTTTGGCGTGACTCGTACTGTTGACCTTTGCCCCGGCGGTCGTGACATCGCCGTCACCGAGGAGAACAAGCATGACTACGTGAGATTGGTGGTGGAGCACAAGCTGCTGTCATCTGTTAAGGAACAGATGGAACACTTCTTGAAGGGTAAGTCTGATTACCCAAGCAAGACTGGAAAAAGAAGACATTTTGCTAACTATTGTACTAGGATTCCATGATATCATTCCCGCGGATCTCATCTCCATTTTCAACGAGCAGGAGTTGGAACTTCTCATCTCCGGCTTGCCCGACATTGACGTTGACGACTGGAAGAGCAACACGGAATACCACAATTACACTCCGTCATCACCGCAGATCCAATGGTTCTGGCGAGCGATCCGTTCATTCGACAAGGAGGAGCGCGCCAAGCTGCTGCAGTTCGTGACTGGAACCAGTAAGGTGCCTCTCAATGGATTCAAGGAGCTGGAGGGTATGAATGGTATCAACCGCTTCAACATCCATCGAGACTATGGCAACAAGGAGCGCCTTCCCAGCTCGCACACATGCTTCAACCGTACGTTATCCCTTGGAACCAAGTTTGAAATGCATCCACTAACCAATTGTCACAGAACTTGATCTCCCTGAATACGAGAACTACGAAATGCTTCGTCAACAACTCATGAAGGCCATCACAGCAGGAAGCGACTACTTCGGCTTTGCATAAGAAGGGAGCGAGCAAAGATAGACAGTTTTGCGGTCACGTCAGCATTTGCATTATGGATGGTAGGCGACACAGGACATTGGAATGGGGGAGACGGGCGTGATTTTTGAGTGGGAGGGCATTGTGAATAAATGCCGAACCACATGTACATACTTATGGCGACTCTCTCGGCCTTGGCTTAGGAAGTACCAGGTCAGGTCTGCTTGCGTTATCCTCTTTCGATTTTGAGGCCTTCATATTACGAATCGTCGGTTGGTTCTTTGCGGAGTGCAGGCCGCTTGGAACTTCAGCTGGCTGATGATGGTATGGAGGTCCAGTATGTAGAGTATCCAATTCGAAGCTCGTCAGATGATTATGAACACACGAATGTTCAGGGGAAAGTCCAAATAAACACTCTGTGTTGGTTCCGTGACTTATTCTTGGGTTTCAGGCTGTGGGCCAAAATAGAAATATTCTATAGGTAGTTGGCAGATTGAACAATAGACAGCACGAAACTGATGCATCCGGGTCATGCATTGCAGCCATTATCGGTGATAGTCCGATCCTTGATCCACTTCGAATTCTATCGTCAAAATGGCTGAGTCTAATTCAAAAGGTGCTCTGGTCGTTACATAGTAGAGGGAAGCATTCTTCTTTGGGTATGCATGTTGGCTAATCGCATTCGCCCATGGATCAGGCAAGGTAGGCAGCTAATACAGAGGCCTTGAGAGGCCAAGGTCTGCCAGTAAAGCAAGAGCCGAAGACGGATCCATGCCTTTCTCCACATAATATTGACCTCTCAGGGATTGCGGAACACTGCCGACAAAGCACTAAGTTTTTTTTTCGTACTTTTTTTCCCAAGCAGTCTACTCCGATCCCAGCCGGTGCGAATACTCAAGTGGACAGGCACACGATAGACCCGACCCGGCCATTACTCACGGTAAAAGCTGTTCACATACTCTTTGCTCTTGCAACCCCACGTAAAAGGCAATCCCGCTGTCTCACTCAACCGCATATCACCACCAGAAAGGCCTCCCCAATCGACCTCGACCATAGTGTGTGTGACACCGCCACACCGACCGACCGATAGCCATACCCCTCCATCGTGACCCCGCGCTGCGATTCGATTCGTCCAGACAGATCCGACAGTACCTTAGCCTGCCAAACCTCAGCAAGGTGCCGCAGCAACAGCAGCAACTCCTTTATAGTCGGCCGATTGCCCCTCCTCGAAATCCTTCTTTCCCTTTTTCTCCCCTTGTCGTCACACATCGACCGGTCTCATGGGGGATATGACAAACGACATCAAGCTCCTCAAGGGCAGCAGCCATGGGGAATTGTCCGAGAAGGTCGCTCAGCGGTATGAATCCTCCGTGGTATAGAGGAACGAAGCAAGCAGAAGCGGTCGCTGACGTAGGGTTGCGAATAATGCAGACTGGGCATTCCCCTTGCGAAGACCATGAGGTAAGCTTTTGCCTCTATTCAAGACCTGGTGCCCTTCCGGCGCAGGCGCGACATTCTTTGGAGAACAAATCTAATTGACCGCTTTTTTGCGCCTTTACAGCTTGAACTACTCCAACCAAGAGACGAGGTTAGCGAACGATCCCTCGAACCCCGGCAGGCTCCGGTCGTTGAGTGGCATGTAAAGCTGACTTCTCTACTGTGTCACCGTTGGCGAGAGCGTCCGCGACGAAGATGTCTTCATCGTCCAATCCAGCGAGCCCGGCAACATCAACGACGGGCTCATGGAGCTTCTCATCATGATCCACGCCTGCAGAACCGCGTCTGCCCGCCGAATCACCGCCGTCATCCGTCAGTCTGCCCTCCGAACGATCAATAGGGATGTCGCATTGTTGGGGAAGGACGCTCGCTGACTAGAGATACACACACAGCTTGCTTCCCTTACGCTAGACAGGACAAGAAGGACAAGAGTCGTGCTCCGATTAGCGCCAAGCTTGTCGCGAACATGCTGCAGGTTTCCGGCTGCGTAAGTCCTCCGAAATTCTTGAGGGGGAAGGAAAGAGAGACGAAGCACAGAGGGAGAGAGCATCTTAAGCTGACCTCATGGGCGCAAACATAGAACCACGTCATCACGATGGACCTTCACGCCTCGCAGATCCAGGGATTCTTCAACATCCCCGTCGACAACCTGTACGCCGAGCCGAGTGTCCTTCAGTGGATCAGACAGAACATGAACGTCGAGGACTGCGTCATCGTCAGTCCCGACGCGGGCGGCGCCAAGCGTGCCACCGGTATTGCCGATCGCCTGGAGACCGGCTTCGCCCTCATCCACAAGGAGCGCCCGCGCCCCAACGTTGTCGGCCGCATGATTCTCGTCGGAGACGTCACTGACAAGATCGCTATTCTGGTCGACGACATGGCTGACACTTGCGGCACCCTCGCCAAGTTCGTATAATCCTCGTGACATGATGTTTTGGCACCACTAACAGTCGCCACAGGGCTGCGGAGACTCTCGAGACCGGCGGTGCGCGTGAAGGTACGTCGTCTTTAGTATCCATAACGTGAAGAGCCATGCACTGACAGTGAACGAAAAAAAAAAACAGTCATCGCTATCGTCACCCATGGCGTCCTCAGCGGTAATGCCGTCGAGACGCTCAACAAGAGCTGCCTGTCCCGCGTCGTCGTCACCAACACGGTGCCCCTCGGCGACAAGATTGAGCGCTGCCCCAAGCTGCGCGTCATCGACATCAGCCAGGTCCTCGGCGAGGCCATCCGCCGCACCCACAACGGCGAGAGCGTCAGCTACCTCTTCAACCACGTTCCCGTCTAGAGAGGGGTTCCGTGATGAAGGGTTTAAGAGTTTCAGTAGCAATTCTAGCAGCAGCAGCAATAGCCTCGAGGATTTTCACATGGCATATTGGGGGAGGGGTTTCCTTTTCCAAATTGGGGTGGGCGTACGGTACAAACGGGCATTTTGCGGGTTTCCTTTTTCAATCCGGCAGGAAGACCTGCTTTTAGAGAAAAGTTCGGCTTTACCGGCAGATTTAAAATAAAAGAACGAAATGGATTCTCTACGAGAACGCTTACGTGTACATGTGATGTCGCTAATTTTCCATACATGAGGCGTGACATACCTTGGTTCTGCGGTCATTTGGCGGCGCAAAAGATTCACAGGGTCCGGTGGGTCTGCCTTGATACCAGCTCTAGACCAAACGTTGACAGCCCCCGCTCCGGAAGAGAACGAAAATCTAGACAGTCCAACCCCAGAATCTTGTGCGGGGCAGGGCTGAGATTTCTTAAGAGGCTCATAGGTACTCCAGTAGTGTCTTCCGGAGATGGATAATGAACATCAGAGTAACGATAGGCTGATTGGTAGGTGGACATATGGCACGAGCAAGTAAGGTATCAATCTTGTTTAACATCATAAAACAATTGCTGGTGGTATTTCGCGTGTCAAAAGGATGTGCATTTCCATTTTTGAATGCCCTATTACATTCATGATGTTGACTGAAAACTTGTTTCATGACATGAGTTCCCAGTGCCCCATTTCCCTTTTTCCACGCCAATGCAAGAAAACCAGAAGACCCGAGTAATCTTTCACTTTTTTCATGATTCCCAACGCAACACCGCCGCCATGACGACAAGTTTACTTGCGCATGGAAGAGGCACGGCGCTTGCGGAGCTCGGCCTTCTCGGTCTTGCGCTCGGCAACACGCTTGGCAAGGACCTGGGCGTATTCGTTCTGGATAGGGGGTTAGTATGACTTGAAGCATCAAGATAAGATGTATAATGGGCAAACGTACGGCCTCGTCCTTGACCTTCTCGGACTGGCGGCGCTTGAGGGCAATGCGGTGGCGCTTGTGCTGGAGACGCTGGGGGGTGACGAGTCTCTGGATCTTGGGAGCCTTGGTGTAAGGCTTCTTGCCCTCGCCCTTGGGCTGGACCTCGCGGCGAATGACGTACTTGCGGACCTATAAGTTGCAGCAAAGAATGCCTCATTAGCCACTTGCAAAGGGTATCTGTGATGTGTATAGCATTGGGATTAAAGCCCGACACATGCTCCCACCTCTTCCTTCTCTCTCCCTCTCTCGTTTTCTGATATATCTGGCGCACTTTCTCAAGGCATTCAACAGATATCGTCTGATGAAAGAAGTAGTTCGAAGGCAGAGGGGAAACACGGTCCCGTCTCTCACACTCTACCTGGTCCGCTCGACCCTCCGCCGCAGAACCAGGTAGGCGATGACGAAGTGGCTGTTGGAAGGGTGGACCGCAACAGGGAGCACACATACATCGTCATCCTTGGTGAGGCTGAAGAACTTGCGGATCTTGGTGGCACGCTTGGGACCGAGGCGCTTGGGGTGGACGACGTCGGTGAGGCCGGGGATGTCGGCCTCGCCCTGCTTGACGATGGAGAGGGCAAGGACGGAGAGGTCCATGCCGACGATGCAGCCGCGGACGGACTTGCGCTTGCGCTCACCGGTGCGGCGGGGGCGGTAGCAGGAGTGTCCCTCGGAGAGGAGGAGGCGGACACGGGTAGGGTGCATGACACCCTGCTTCATCGGGAAACCCTGCTTGTCGTTGCCTCCGGTGATGCGGAAGATGTAGCCCTTGAACTCGTCGCCGACGGAGTCACCGGGGACCTCAGCGCCCATGCGCTTCTCCATGAAGACGCGGAGCTTGCGCTCATCCTCAATGTCGATGAGCTTCTGGCTGCCATTGGCAGGGTAGGAGATGTTCAACTGTGGTCAAGAAAAATGGTCAGCAACCTTGAACGTGACTTTTCCACCCCCTCCGAATATTTCCAAATATTCGGCGCGGTGATCAGACCGCCAGCGATTTCGAACTCGACGTCGTTGATATGGCAATTCCATCGCGTTCGATTGTATCGCTCTCGTCTGTCGGGATATAGTGTTATCGTACCTTCATCTTGCCGGCGTTGGGTGGTGCAAGTGTTGTCGACTGCGGCTGGGCGTTGGGCGTGGATTGTTCAGTGGGAAGGAGGAAAAGCGGAAAGTTACTCTTGAATTTTCGAGAATGTGTGCGTCGCTAGAGCCCTGCTGCAAAAA